GTTCATTTAACTAAAATCCTCAGCCTAACCCACAGAAAATGTCGAAGCAAACCCAATATAAGAATACTTCCTCCTCTTTTATAGAGGAATAAATATGGCCGTTCTGAACTCTACCGGGATCAAATCTTCTCGCATACCATTTACCTTCACAACAAGAAATTTGATTGGCTGTTTATAGTAGATCCAATCTGATTGGTGTGACATACATACATCTCTCTCCCACTCACTCACTCACTCACTCACTCATCTATTGACCCGTCCATAACATACCCAACGCGCCGACTAAGAGGTATTTTTTTCCAAAAAAATAACTCAAAAAAAATTCTGGAAGACCTCCTTCACAGTAGTGCAATTATGATTTGTTTATAAAATTTGCTTTTTATCTCGCCGGCTTTGCACATCTGATCTATCAATGCTTTTGCATCTGTTAACAGCTTTACTGGTCTTCTCCAGCTTGGTATATCTGCCACCATATCTGCCACAGAACCACTCATTCGTAGCTTAAATTCCTCATTAGTCTTTCATTCGTAGCAGATGATTCCTGGTCACAAATGGTCACTATGGCAGCAAACAATGCAAGGCCGTGCAGAGACTGGGGTTGGGACAAAAAATTGTGTGGTTCTACACACTAAAAATGGCATTTTGGCAAGTGTATTCAGTGATTCATTTCAAGTCTTGTATTTATCAGAACTGTGGTGTTTTGGGGTTTTGGATTAAGTCAGCAATTGAGTGTAAAAAATAACACAGGTGAGTTTCATAGCTAACAGTTTGTGGAGTTGTGATGTTATTTCAGAAGACTAATGGCTTCTTCCATGCTCGATCTTCAGAGAGATCATTCACGTATTTCACTCATAGCTTTTAGCCTATTGATGAATGGAAGATCTGAGAAAACTTGCAGCGCATTTTCGGGAACGAGTTATTGTTTGAAAAATCGCGAAGAATTTTCAGAAGGAGTGAATTATTCCTTAACGAATTATCACGTACTGCAAATTATCACTCGAAAATTCGTTCGGACCAGAATAATAGGCGTCACGAAAACGCAGACAAATTTCCTGGAAATATTGTTTCAAGCGATATTTCATCAAAAAGGCAACAAAAGCCAGGAATTTTGTCGCAATTTGTTTGCATTACTTTTGCACAATATTGTAGGATGCTCCTAGTCACTATGCATAACTTCAACGTAAATGAAAAACAGTTTGGCTTTCTGTCAACAAGACTTAAGTGGTCGGAGGTCATGTGACGTAATGCTGTCCAACTAATCTATGTCTTCTGTAGTACATAGCGCTAACCAACTGAATACGAGAACAGTTCTATAAGAGATATATAGAATTTATAGCAGATGGGATGTAATGCAGTGCAGTTCACCAGTAGGCAACCATGGAAACTGTAAAATATATTGGTAGAAACAATTCTAAATGAAGAAGCCAACAAACTTCGCCTACATCGACTCACAGGTTCTGAGGTTTTACATTTAGATGTATGTACTAACACATTTCATTGATTCGCTGAATTTGGAAAGCTACAGACTCAACAAATTGCAGGAAATTTTATTTTTCATAATAAAATTAAAACAGAAACCTTTCCAACTTACTAAGTCAGAAGAAAGAACAAGCTAGCAGCATGAGAAACAGAAGTCATTCAAAGGCAGCACAAGACTCACTGATATGTCAACAATACTAGAAGGCCACCATCGTGGGTACAACTGAAAATGATTGATTGGTTTAAAACAGGAACAATTCTCAAGGACAAGCATCTAAAAGATCACATTTCGTGCTTCATCATGACGTATAGATATTGATAGGGCTAGATTGCACAGGAGTGATAGTGAATGTTTTGGCTGGTGTGTTGCACATACATGTTGGCCGAGTTCTAGATCACTGCATCACAATTTCACTGGGGAGATCCAGACTAATGGGATAAAATCAACACATTCAAGTAAATGGAAAACGACTGAGCCACGACAATCTTAAACGATGTCCCAAGAGTTCTTGAATGGTTGAAACAGGGACTAAACGGACTCGATACCCGATATTTGTCCATCATTTGGTGCCAAACTTTTGGTAATTGTGAGCAGACACCAAAATGATGTTGGATGAGTTAACCATACTGGTAAGTTTTCTGTGCTCATTATATGCACAAAATCTATTATGGTTATAAAATTATGAGTGTAAATACTGCTGATCAATAGGCTCACGAAAAATCAGGATTATTTCTGTGATCACTGTATCGTGACTTAAATAGATTTAGGCATTTTATTCATCACTTAGGCCAATTCGCTGTAGTGTGGAAAGCCTGTGAACAGTTCATGTAATTGTCAAAACTAGCTCGCAACCCATCTCAATGAAAATTAGAAAATCTTATAACTACAAAGGAAAATTTACAAAACGCGTTAAGTGTAGTTAACAGGTGATTACAGCCAAGAATTCCAATGTATATGCAAATTTGCAATTGCTGATTGATCCTTACCAGAGAAGTTGTTTTGACTCAATAATCTAATCATTCTAATTGGTGGAAACTGAGTACTGTTTCTAGTTAAAAACATGATGTGGACAGGAGCCATTTTATTGGTTGAGCGGGACATCAATTCTAAGAGGTAAAAAGCGTTCTCAATTTCCATATGAAAAGTGCATTTTCCACTCTGATATTGCACCTTCTAAATAAAACAAAACATTTCCACCAAAGCAGGCACAGTAACAATTGGTGAAGAGTTTACTGAGCAAGATGCAAGGAAATATTTACTTATAAACAAGTTTCTCTAACCTGAATTCTTTGCCATTATTAATCAACCGCAACTAATACATTTGACGTTTTCAAGAATTTTGCTAAATAATTGCACAGAGAAAACTGCCAATGAAAGTTTGATTTATCTTTGTACAGAAAATACTCCCACAGAAAAACATTGCTCAAAACCCTGCAACTAATTATTACTGTGTCAAGAAGCAGAAAATCTAGATGTATGCATCGCGATGACTTCTGCTTTATCCGGTCGAGGGGCCCTGGCAATGTTGTGTGATATGAGGTGCTGTGAGAGTAGTGTTTCTGTCAGCAGCATCTCGATTCTTTCTTTCTACTATTGCATCCAACACTGGTTGCAGATGACCCCTTGTTGTCTTCTCCATAACTGGTTTTGCTACCCATTCTTTACTTTGTTTGGTGAAGACCACCTTGTAGTAAAGCTCTCCTTTGTTTTCTCTGGTTGAGACAGTGACATGGTTTCGGCTGGTGTTTGCATTATGGTCAAGCGCTGCTAGCTGAGATCAAGTGACCATACCCTTATACAGAAAGTGCTGATATTTAGGAAGATATTTGGACACCATGATAAACCTCCAAGGATCCAGTGTGGTCA